CTTCCTAAACACCAAAGATACTGATAATGGAAAGAAAAGGAAATTATTCACACTGATAAACAATGAATCTATTATAATATGTGTTATAACAGAGATAAAACCAAACTTATCAATGAATAAAAACAGATTAATTCATGTACTGAACACTGAAGTTGTTTTAAACAGCAAAGACAAACTCTATGCTAGACACAAGAGATACAAGTAAAACAAAGTTATCCAGGAAGGTTATGAGCAAAATTATAGCAAATACGTATAATCAGAAAGGTGTATAATCCTGTGATAAGCCAAGACAGACAGAAGTAAAGCTATTAAAGGAGGCAAAAATGGTAATTATAACCCTAAAGACATGATTCAAAATGAAGACATACTAGTAATGAATATACAACAACTAACATAGCACATTCATGAAACAGAAGATGGAAGGAAAAAACAGGAAAAATGAACTAATAATAGGACACTCAGATAGTACTCTCCAAAATTGGACAAGAAATAAAAATAAACTGTGTTAAATATCAAAAAATATTTAATAACACAGCTCTTAGGAATGCATATTGAGTTTTGTGCTCTGAAAATAGGAATTTATTTTCTCACATGCACAGGGAAACATTTCTGAAAACTGAACATATAGTAAGTCAAAGAAAATAAATTCAAAAGTCCATAAAAAAGAGATTCTACAAATAACATTCTCAAAAACAGTGTAGTAAAACAAGAAATTGGCAACAGACTAAAAATAAAAGGCCCTCCAAAAAAAAAAAACTCTTTAAACAATGCTTAGAAGAGTAGCAAAAACCAAAATTGCATATTTCTACAACAAAATATGTTAATGAAGATACTGCACATCAGAATCAAGGGGATACAATTGAAGCAATAGTCAGAAAAATATTCAACTATTTAAATCATAAAAAGTAAAAGTGGAAAAAAATAAAGACCAGGCTGGCCTCAAACTCACAGTGATCCTTATACTCCAGACTGCCCAGTGCTGGGATTATAGGTATGAGCCACCACACCCAGCCAATTCTCAGTTTTTAAAACCAGAAAGAAGTAGGAAAAGGAAGCAGAAAGGAAATAGTATAGAAAAAAGTTTTTTTTAAAAAAAATCCATAAAATCAATAATTTAAATTGTAATATTGGATATCTGAATAAAAATCTACATAAAAAGAAAGCAGATGCTTTTATAAGTTTATAGTATTTATGCTCTCACTTCAAAACATTTTAAAATGATGGTAATCAATGCAATCAGTGTACTTTTGAGGAAAGGATGAAGGTACAGATTAATGGAACAGAATTGAGAATCTAAAAAAGGTTTCACACATATATTGATCAATTGATATTTGACAATCCCCATAAAAATACAAATAACAATATTAAAAGAATATTCTAAAATTACTATAATAACACAAAAGATCCACAATAGCCAGAGCAACCGTGAACAAAGAGAGTAAGGCTGAAAGCATCACAATACTTGATTTCAAAATATCCTACAAATCCATAGTAATAAAAACAAGACTTCTGGCATAAAAATTGAATAGAGTAGAGGACACAGAAACAAACCCACAAAGTTAGTCATGTGATTCTTGACAAAGGGGCCAAAAACATACACCTGAGAAAAGACAGTCTCTTTCACAAATGATGCTGAAAAGGCTGGATATCCATGTGTACAAAATCAATTCAAATGCATCAAAGACCTAAATGTAACTTTGAAAATGCTAGAAGAAAGCATAGGAGAAACAATTCAATGTATAGCTATATGCAATACCTTCCTGAATAATAGCAAGAACTGACAAAGGGGACTACATCAAATCTAACAGCAAAGGAAACAACAGAGTGAAGAGACAGCCGACAGACTGGAGAAAATCTGTGCTACTCTTTTGATAGAGGATTAATGTCTAGAATATATAAAGAACTCAAAACACTTAACACCAAAAAAACCTCAAATAACTCAAGCAAAATACAGGCAAATAAACTGAATAAACACTACTCAAAAGAAGAGTACAAATGGCCAATTGATATATAACATCTCACCCTGGACTGAATGAATACCACGGAGAATAAAAACCACAATAAATACTGGCAAGGATGTGAGGAGAGAAGGAAGTCTGCTATGCTGTTGGTGGAAATGTCAATTATTACAGCCACTATGGAAATCAGTCTGTAGGGTCCTCAAGTAGTTAAAAATAGAGCTATCACTTTTATCTAGATAAATCGCTCTCTGGTACATATGAATTAAATACAGTCAGTACACTAAAGAGATCACCCTCGTACCCATCCCACCCACATCTGCACAATTCACAGCAGTGAAGCTATGGATATACCTTAGGTGCCTGTTAACTATGAGTACATGAGAAAATGTAAAAAGTACGTATAATGGCATATTGGTATGTCATAAAGAAAAACAAAATCATATTATTTGCAGGAAAATGAATGGAACTGGAGAGCATCGTAATAAGTGAAATAAACCCAACTCATGCACTCACATATTTTCTTCCATACCTAAAACCTGAAAATTTATTGAGAGAAGGATGACTTAAAAGTAGAAGGATTATTAGAGAAAAGAACAGGAATCAGGGGAGGAGAAAGGGTCGAGCCAGCAGGGTAAAGGGATATGGAAATGATCAAAGTATGATATATGCACACACAAATATGGCAAAATAAAACCTATTATTCTGGTCAACTGTGTGTGTGTATATATATATGAATATAATTCATTTGGAAATAATAGGCTTCTACAAATGGCGTTGTGATACCTGAATATCCACACGAGAAAAAGATGAACTTTAACTTTTATCTTACACTATACAGAGAAATTAATTCAAAATACAGTTTAGATTTAGAAATCTAAACTAAGATTATAAAAATTTGGAAAATATTTTTAAAAGATAATGTTCTAAACATCACATATAAAGAGTGAGTTGACTTCAAAACACTAAACACAGTATTATATCCATGCTTTGAAATGTTGTCAGCTATGAAAAGGAATGAAATATTGCTACAGATAAAAACATGAGTGAATCTTGAAAATGTTATGATAAGTAAAGAGTAAGTCTTACAAACTGTGCATTTGATGATTCCACTTATGGAACATGTCTAGATTAGGGAACAGAGAATCTGGAGTGACAGAGAGGACAGTGGTTGTCTAGGGCTGGATACAGAAGACGGGCATGGAGGGAAATGAGGGATGACTGATAATGGGTAAGAGTTTTTCATTGGGGTGATAAGAATGTCTTAAAATTGAACTGAGGCGATGGTTGCATACCCTTGAAATATCGTAGAAAACATTAAATTGATATACTGTGTGGGTAAAGAACATAGTAAGTCACACACACATAGCAACAAAGTTGTTAAAAGCAAATTAACTGATTTACACTTGTGATTGTGTAAATATACACATTTCAAGCACATTACAATCAAAAAGGTATCTGAAAGCTATGTTCAAATCAAGTAATGGACAAAGGAACCAATTCCTTACTGACACTTATTCTCTGCCAAGCATGTGCTGTTTATCTTACCCAATCCCCAGTCTCCCATTCAATGTAGATAACAATCACTCCATTCTGAAAATGGAGGAAGCTAAGGGTCAAAGAATTCGCCAAACGATGTAGAGTTAGAAAAAGTCATTAAAAACTGAGGGTCTACTTTGGTTCTATTCTCTAACTTCTACTATCTCTAGAAAGTGTAATTCCATTTGTTGAGGTATATGCGTTTATTCTAACAAAATACAAGGAAAAGCTGAATTAATGCCTTGCTTGCAGGTGTAGAAGAATCTAATGAGATAACGACTTGTATGAGTAGAAACCATGACAGTTTTATTCTAACAAAAACCACTAAAATCTTTCTAACAAATAAGAAGGAAAGGAAACCCAATGGAATTTAATGAACAAGGGAAAACCAAGCTCTTTAAAATAGGCTCAGTATTTTACATTTGGGTACCGTTGTCTTAGAAAGTACTATCTGTAATTTTTGAAGAATCATAGATAAAGAACTTTCAAATAAATGGACAATCTTCCAAAGGAAGAAAATAAAACTACAAATTATAACAATATGGACTGGATTTCTGGGCAAGTATGAGCATCAAAGTGCTGAACATTTGGAAACAGGATGACACCTCCTAATCCTTTACTTAACCAAGTGGCTCCTTTATCTCTGATGAAGTCCACAAATCCTGTCATGTCCTGTAAGATACAAATTGGCTTACAGCAAGCCCACTGTGTGGCCACTTGTTCTGATGGCACAGGCCAGATACACTGACTCTCTCTATATATCTATATCTATATCTATATCTATATCATATCTATGTAGATATGTAGATATAGATAGATATACATATATCTATAGATATAGATAGATAGACAGATAGATAGATAGATAGATAGATATATGGAATATATATCTATACAGATATATATATGAAAGAAATCCAGGCTTGTGTGTATATATCTAGATAGATAGATAGATAGATAGATAGATAGATAGATAGATAGATAGATAGACAGACACACAAGCCTGGATTTCTTTCATCTGCACCAATAGAAAGTTCATCTCTGTTTGATCTGGGGCCAATTAAAAGTGGTTTGTGTGCAAATGCAAAGGCACTGAATTATCATCATGAGAATAAGAAATAACTGCCACTTGGCAGATCCCTCTGGCTCTAATTCCCTCATCTTCCTATCATACTGTGTAAGAGATAAAGGCACTCTAGGGGTAATGGTAGACGTTTCCCCTGAAACCCAAATCCCTGGAGAGACAGCTCTATGAATTCCTGACTCTCACTCACCTTTAAAGCCAGTCTGAATGGGTTATCAATGATCCTCAGCTTATCCCTCACGTTAGAGCTCATGATAAACTCAAAGGAAAATTAGTCATTTTTAAATTAGATTCAAAACTTTCAGCTCTTTAATTAATCCTAATGCTATATGTAAAAAATTCTAGTATTGGTATATTCTTCTAAGGTTCACTCACAAGGTAAAAGAACTCCTTTCATTTTGTTTTATTTCAGTAAATACCTTGAAGCCAGGACTACCCATTAATCCATCTTTTCCATGTCTTCCTGGTTCTCCCTGGAAAATAAAACATTTGTTTTTAATATATTTTTGCATTGATTTTTCTTTTTAAGAATGATGCCGTACTTTTTTATTTACTGAAGGTAAACTACTCAAAAACATTTTTTGGTCCATTAAACTCACAGCACGTCCAGGAAGGCCAGGAAAACCAGCATTCCCCTTTTCACCTTTTGCACCCTGCATTAAAAGGTAACATTTAAAAAATAATCCTCACAATATTTTTTTTGTTTTTGTTTCTAAACTTAAATAGGAAAGCTAGTAAGCACAACTCATCCTGGAGTGGCAGAATTGGTTGCCTCTACCACTTTTGTTAAGGCATTATTTTTACCAGCCTAGGGGCACAATGTGAGACACTGAAAATGTTGATAGATGCAATTAACATTATAAGCTTCTAGACACAGAAACTATATCTAGACAAAATTAAGAAGCAGTGGGCATTTTAAACTTCCCTAAGTTAAGTGAGCATACAAACTTCCCTAATTGCACAGATAGTAAGGCCCACAGCACAGAGTCTCAGTAGACATGTTTTCAAGCAGCTATTCTTTCCAAGGAATCCCTCATAGTGAATACTGATTAAATTCACAAAAAAAAACACAATGTATAGATTACTATACATAGCAGTCACCAGCATTTCTTTTCTTTTGGTTCATTGTTTTAAATAAATCCTCAGAGAATTCTAAGGCTGACCAGAAATCCAATACAAGCTTGCTATTTCCAGAACATTCAAAAGTCAGTGTGGGTTCTGTAAAGTATTACCCATACTTCCCTTTTTGCCATAAAATCCAGGTGATCCTTTATCACCTTTGGGGCCCATTTCACCCTAAAAGACAAAAGCATTAGTAATTAATGTTAAAGAAAATGAATACTCCCTTTATAAGAAAAAATAACACAGATTATAAATAATAGACTTTAACCTGGCAAAATCAAAATAAAATAATTTAAAATTTATCTACTAAAAGTCCTATTTAATAGGCTTTATAAGGATAAACAAGTATGGCATCCAGGCTAACTGATCAGGTTTTAAGGTTGAGAGAAATTTTATACAGTACATTACACATGTTGTAGATAGCAAGCTTGTTGCTAAATATGGTGCTATGAAATTACACTTTTATACCTGCAAACTTTAAGGAGATTTTTTTAAAGTTTGATATAAATGGTTATATTAATTTTAACTCAGTAATTCACTTTTACATATTGATGGTTATATTTATCTATAGACATTTATTTAAAACACAATTATAATATAAACATACTTTCATTTCAATTAAAATATAGCATTGCTGAATTTAAAAGGAACACATTTTTTTCAACCTTTGATCCTGGCATCCCATGAAGACCAGGAAAACCAGGAAGTCCACGGTCACCCTGAAAACAAAACTGAAATTAACCAAAGGAACAAGAATTATAATATATTCAACCCCACACTTATCAAAATCCATTGGGAATGAATCTGCAACCAGTTAAACTTGTATCTGTATGAAATTCTTTCTCTATGCAAGATTAATGCTCATTATCATGGAGTAATTTGTGATCAGAGAAAGGAAATATTTTAGAGTTACAGGTACCTCACCAGCAATCCTGATTCCACCCTTATAGAGTTATTATCTATTGTGAAGTAATATAGGCTTTTATAGGACCAAGACAATGAATTAATTGAAATGGTTTAGAGCCAAAGTTTAATGGAACCAGTCAGCCTTTAAGATCTCATCCAGCTCACTAAGGACAGACTTTGAACTGAAAATCTCAATACATGCTAGGATTGTGTGAGTTTTTAATAAATGCTAATCTTACAAACAGTCAGTGGTAGATATCTGTTCAGATATGTCTACAAAAATGAAAACCCCTATGTTTTCACAACAGAAAACATGAAGAAAATTCTAACCATTGAACAAAGTTTATACATAATACTGTGAGAACTGTCAGATGTTGTTGCCTTACCTTCAAAATGTTCATTGCAAAGACACAAGAGAAAAAACAATAACTTATGGAAAGATGTGGATCAAGTTCACTTTTATCCTCACAAAGAAAGATACTGCATACATTCAATGGTCTTAATTTCCATGGTAGGGGAAAGAGATGAGGTGATTAGGTATTTATGATTGGTGTAGTTTTTTAAAAGGTTATTCATTCAAATGTTTTAATGAATAATATAATTATTCAAGGCTTATAAAACTCCAAAGACTACTTTACTTTAAAATTCCAAACATCTGAGTTCAAAGCACTAAAATACATGGCTATGTTGCACCTGCACTTTCATTTTTCAGCATTATCTGCTGCCTTTACACTATGAATGAAGAGGATTAACTTCTGAGACAACCCAACATTCCTTCTCCACCTCCACTTCTAACAAGCACATGACAAATAACACCTGAGAAACCAGCACTAGATAAAATTCTAAACAATATCCTAGAAAAAGAAAATGAGAGTAACAACTCAATGATGCCCAACAGAGTGGCACCATCAAGCACAGCAAGAATTTAAAGGGAAAGGGGAGAAAATAAAAAATAAAAGAGCCAACAACATGAAAATGTCATGACAAGGATAAGTCATACATATCAATTATAACCATCAATATTAACGGCCTCAATTTACCAATCAAAAGAAACATACTAGCAGAATAGATTAAAAAGCAAAATACAACAATATGCTGTATACAAGAAACACATTTAATTCAAAAAGAAATTCATAGACTGAAAGTAAAAAGATGGAAAACAATTTTCCATGTGACTAGAACCCAGAAAAAAGCAGGGGTAGCTATTTTATTTTCAGAGAAAGTAGATTTCAAACCAAAACTAATTAAAAGAGTCAAGAAGGTCACTACATCCTTGTAAAGGGAACAATCCAAGAGGAGGCGATGACAGCCATAAATATATATGCACCAAATACTAGTGATCCCAAATATGAAAAACAAATATTAATGGACATGAACAACCAAATAAGCAGTAATACAATTGTAGTGGGGGATCACAATACCCTACTATCACAAATAAACAGTTCAAATAGAAAGAAAATCAATACTGAAATACTAGAACTGAACCAAACTTTTGAACAAATGGGTTTAATAGATGCCCACTGAGTGTTCCAATCAGAGTATATATCAGAGCATACATTCTTTTTGTCTTCACGTTGGTCATTCTCCAAAATAGACAATGTGCTAGCTCATAGAACATGTTTAAGTAAGTGCAAAGGAGTAGAAGTTATCCTATGTATATTATCATACCATAGTGCAATTAAACTGAAAATCAATAGGATAAGAAATTGCAAGAGCTTCGCAAATACATGAAAAATGAATAACACTCTACTGAACAACCAATGGGTCACAGAAAAAATTAAGAAAAAATCAGAGTTTCTATAATTAAATGATAGTACCAATACAACATACAGGATCCCATGGGACACAATGAAAGCAGTTTTATAAGGGAAATTCATAGCAGTGAATGCCCATTCTAGGAAAACAGTGAGCTCAAATAAACAGTCAAAGGCTGAACCTCAAGCTTCAAAAATGAAGAGCAAGACAAACCTAAAGTTCATACAAGGAAGGACATTATAAAGATAAGAACAGAAATCAATGGAGACTAGAGGACTAACAATAGAGACTAAGAGAACAATAGAGACCACAAAAACCTCAACAAATCAAAGTTTGTTCTTTGAAAGAATAAGGAAAATTGAAAAACTCTAAGCCAAACAACAAAAACGAGGGAAGAAAATGCTCAAATCCATGCAATTAGGAATGAAAAGGGTGAAATCACAACAGATCCAGCAGAAATACACAGGATCATCAATGCCTAATTCAAGAACTGTACTCTAATAAAAGGGAAAACACAAAAGAAATGGACAGATTCCTAGATATATATAAATTAAAGTTGAGTGAAGAAAATATAAAAATTCTAAATACCCTAATTTCAATCAATGAAATTAAAAACATAATTAAAAATTACCAACAAAGAAAAGCCCAAGTCCTGATGGTTTCACTCCTGAATTCTACAAGAAATTTAGGAAAGAGCTAATGCCACTACTTCTCAAACTCTGTAATGAAATTCAAAGGGAAACAATACTCAAAAATTTATTCCTGGAAGCAAATATTACTTTGATCCCCAAAGCAGAGAAAGACCCAACCAAAAAAGAGAACTACAAGCCAATTTCCCTAATGAACACAGATGCAAAAATCATCAGTAAGATACTGGCAAACAGAATATAGAGGATCATTAAGAAGATTGTATACCCTGACCAAGTGGGATTCATTCCAGGGAAGCAGGGATGGTTCAACATATGTAAATTAATAAATGTAATACACTACATTAACAGAGTCAAGGACAAAAACCATGTGATCATCTCAATAAATAAAGAAAAAGCATTCAACAAAATCCAACACCCATTCATGTAGGATTCATAAAAATCCTACAGAAAATTGGAATGGATGGTCTTTATCTCAACTTGAAAAAGGCTATATATGAAAAACCAGCAGCCAATATCATACTAAAGGGTCAAAAACTGAAATCTTTCATCTAAGATCAGGAACAAAACATGTTCGCTATACCCACTTCTGTTCAATATAGTTCTGGAAACATTAGCCACAACAGTTAGACAAGAGAAGGAAATCAAAGGAATAAAGATAGAAAAGGAAGAAGTTAAACTGTCGTTATTTGCTGATGACATGATATCTACATAGAAGACCCAGAAAAAGCTCTGCTAAAACTCTTCTAGACTTAAATGACAGATTCAGTAGAGTAGCTGGAAGTAGCTAAATTTCTGGAAGGTCAACACAGAAGTCAACAGCCTTATTATATACCAATAATAGACTCACTGAGAAAGGATATGCAGAAACAATTCATTTCACAATAGCTTTCAAAAACTGAAATATCTAGGAATCAATTTGACAAAGGAAGAAAAGACCTCTATCTTGAAACCTACAGCACTCTCAACAAAGAGAATGAAGAGGATATCAGAAAACAGAAAGACATCTCTTGTTCCTGGGTAGGAAGAACCAATATAGTAAAATAGCCATGCTTCCAAACCTGCTATATAGATTCAATGCAATCCAGATTGAATTCCTAACAGCATATTTCACAGAACTAGAGAAAACAATTTAAAAAAATTCATTTGGAACCAGAGGAGACATGGCAGGGGGTATCACAGTCCCCAACTTGAAACTACTACAAAGCCACTGTGATAAAAACAGCATGGTACTGGCAAAGAAACAGACCCAAGCATCAGTGGAATAGATTAGAAGATGTAGAAATAACTCTAGACATACTCAGCCACCTCATCTTTGACAAAGAAGCCAACCATTCTCACTGGAGGAAAGATAGCCTCTTTAATAAATGATGCTATAAAATTGGATATCAGCTTGCCACAAATTAAAGCAAGATTCATATTTTCACCATGCACCAAACTAAAATCCAAGTGAATTAAAGATCTAAATATTGAAACAGAAACACTAAACTTTCTGGAGTATAGGTTAGGTAGAATTCTTGAAGACATTGATGTAGGAAAAGACTTTATGAAGAAAAAAATAAAAACCTCAGTAGCACGGGAACTAGTGCAGAGAATCAACAACTAGGATCTCATCCTATTAAAAAGGCTGTGCACAGCAAAAGAAACCACCAACGAAGCTAAGAAGTTTTTCACCCAGCTGTTCCTTAGATAAAGGATTACTATCTAGAATATATAAAGAACTTTAAAAAATCAGCCCTCCCAAACTTAAAGATCCAATCCAAAAATGGTCACCTGAAATGAACAGACATGTCTCAAAGAAATAAAAGCAGCTAATAAACATATGAAAAAATGTTCAACATCACTGGGCATTCAAGAGATGCAGATGAAAACAACACTGAAACTGTACCTCCAGAAAAGAATGGCTTCTATTAAAAAAAAATAACAAATGCTGGTAGATTAGTGGGGAGAAAGGAACCCTTTTTCATAGTTGATGGGAGTGCAGACTGGTGCAACCACTTAGGGATCAATATGGAGATACCTCAAAAAAGTAGCATTAAAGGTCCCATTTGACCCAGTTATCCCGCTGCTGGGTATGTTGGAAGTATTCAACTGTCTTTTTTATTTTTATAGGAGCTCACAGATAAGAGTTTGCCTTTCAACTCAATGGACTCTTCAGACTTGGACTTTTTCAGTACTGCTAAAACTGTTAAAATGTTGGCAACTCTTAGACATGGACTAAATACATTTTACACAATGAGATGGACATGAGCCTTTTGGGGCCAGAAGTAGATGGTATCTATAATTTAGGTCCACAGTATCTCCCAAAACTTTCATGGGTTCAGAGGTAGGGCTTTTGGAACATGATTGGATTATTCTGAGCACTATGTTCATTAGTGGATGGATCCATTGATTTCATAGCTAAATGTGGTGTCAGGTGGCAG